CCATCTCCTCTCTCCCTCCCCAGACAGACAGGCAGACAGATAGACATAGACACACAGGCAGACATACAAACAGACAGGAGAGGAGAGTACTGAAGATGGAGAGAGAGAGAGAGAGAGAGAGAGAGAGAGAGAGAGAGAGAGAGAGAGAGAGAGAGAGAGAGAGAGAGAGAGAGAGAGAGAGAGAGAGAGAGAGAGAGAGAGAGAGAGAGAGAGAGAGAGAGAGAGAGAAAAGTGCTAAATAGAGAGGGGAAACGAAGGAAGATAACAGCAGTGGGAAGCAAGGGCGATGATGGAGGAACCAGGTGGTCGGGAGACTGCCGGATGTTGGCGGGGATTTGGGCATGACGTTGGGGGGGGGGGGGGGAGGCATCATTTTGCTGGAGATATACGTGTGTTTTTTGCTGTCATAGGTAGACCTGAGGTAAGATAAATAGGGGGAACGGGACAGATACAGAGGAAGGGAAAAGGAAAGGGGATAGAGAGAGAGAGAGAGAGAGAGAGAGTGAGAGATAGAGAGTGAGAGTGAGACAGAGATAGAGAGTGAGAGTGAGAGATGGAGATAAAGCGATGGAGAGAGTAAGTAAGTTAATAAGGATGTAAGTAAGTAGAAAAAGACAACGCGAAAGGGAGAGAGGAAGAGATAGATAGAGAAAGATAAAGAGAGGGAGGAGGAAGGGGAAGATCGAAAGAGTGTGGGAGGGAGAAGGCAAGATCGAACGAGGAAAGGAAGACGTCGAGAAGCCGGCCCCAGCAGGTCACCGCGCAACAAAACTCTTTCGCAAGGAGTCCCAACTCATTAATCATGAAGACATCCATTCATTTCTTCTCTATAATTCATCAGCCAACTACAGCGGCGCGAAATTCTCATTGATTGACGAGAGAGAGAAAGAGAGAGAGAGAGAGAGAGAGAGAGAGAGAGAGAGAGAGAGAGAGAGAGAGAGAGAGAGAGAGAGAGAGAGAGAGAGAGAGAGAGAGAGAGAGAGACCCGACTTACGCTGCACGCGAGGACTTACGTCATCATTGTCTCTTGTGATTGGTCGACGCTGGACCAATCAGCAGCGGCCGTCGAGGGGTAGGAGTCGTTCACATACAGAGGGAATTAACTCGGACGAAGGGGGTGGGGGGATGGTGGGGGGTGGGGCGTGGGTGGAAGTGTGGGAGGGGGTGGATGTAGGTATGGGTGGGGGAGGATGGAGGGTAGGATGGGTGGATGGATGCTCTGAATGGGTGGAGGGGTGGGAGAGGGGAGGGTGGAGGGACGGGAGAGGAGAGGGGAGGGTGGAGGGGTGGGAGAGGGGAGGGTGGAGGGACGGGAGAGGGGAGGGTGGAGGGGTGGGAGAGGGGAGGGTGGAGGGACGGGAGAGCGGAGGGTGGAGGGGTGGGTGGAGGGGTGGGTGGAGGGGTGGGTGGAGGGGTGGGAGGGGGTGGATGGAAAATGTGGATGAGGGCGGGAGGGTGTAACTGGAGGGAAGAGGAGGGGAGTGGGAGGGAATTAGGCGACGGGAATTAGGATGGCAGAGGAGGACGAAGATGAAGAGAACGAAGGTCATGAGGATTTTGAGAGGGGGGGGGAGGTTTGAGGACGAAACGCGAAACGAGGAAAATGAAGTGGGAGAGGAGGAGAAGAAGAAGAAGAAAAAGAAAAATAAAAAGAAAAAGAAAGAACAACAAGAACAAGAACAAGAACAAGAAGAAGGAGGAGGAGAGGGAACAGAAGGAGGGATGGAGGAGTTAAGTGGGTACGGAGTGGATAGAAGGACGGAGAGCGGATGACTGACAGGAGATGGGGGTCGGATGGGGTAGGAGGGACTGGGGGTAGGGGGAGGGGTAGGGGGGGGATTGGAAGGGCACGACATATAACTGGGTGAAAAAAACGGAGATTTAGAATTATGTAATAGAATAAGACGAGAGGGAAAAGGAGACCGGAAGACGAATGGTTGTTGAGAGAGGGAAGGGCGTGAGAGAGAGAGAGAGAGAGAAAGACACAGACAGACAAAGAAAGAAAGAAAGAAAGAAAGAAAACGGAAATCAAGAATAAGAAAGAAAGAAAGAAAGAGAAATAGAGAAAGAAGACAGAGGGATGAGAAGGGAGAGGAATAAGATAAAAATAAGAATGAAAATAGAGGAAAAGAGAAGCGGGATAAGATACACCGAAAGGAAGGCGGTGAGATAGGCAAAGCCGAAGAAAGAGAGGCGAGGGGAAGTGAGAGATAAGACACGTTATCAGTAGCGGAGGTTAATCTCGTTCTCAGCAGCAACAGATAAGAGGTGTTTTTTTTTTCTTTCTGCCGTTGAGGGTTTTGTTGGCAAGCTGTTCACGAAAAGGAGGAATTGTAAAGCGGGGGAAGTGAGCAAGGGGGGTGGGGGTGGGGGTAGGAATAAGGTGAAAGAAAAGGAGGAAAGAAGGAAAGAAGAGAAGATGTTAAAAAAAAAAAAGTGATGGGGAAGAACAAGAAGGGAGGGAGAGAGGGAGCGAGAGATAGAGAGAGAAGGGGAAGGAAAGAGAGACGGAAGGAAAGAGAGAGAGAAGGAAAGAGGGAGGGAAGGAAAGAGAGAAAGAAGGAAAGAGGGAGGGAAGGAAAGAGAGAGGGAGGGAAAGAGAGAGAGAGAGGGAGAGGGAGAAGGAGAGAAAAAAGAAGGGATGGGGGGGAAGAGAGAGGAAGAGGGAGAGGAAACAGGAGAGGGAGAGAGGGAAAGAGGGAGAGGAAAAGAGAAAAAAGAAAGAAAGAGAAAGGGGAAACGATCATTGGGGCAAGGGGGAATGTAATATCTATCTGTATTACGCATATTTAGACTTGATATTCTAGCACACGCTAATATTCTCTGACATATCCGCTCTCCCGCCAACCCTAATTAAGGATATATTTATCGACAAATAATGCACGGAGGCGAAGCGCTAATGCCAAGTATATTAGGTAAGATATCTCGCGCGTT